AAGTGTCTTAGCCACTATGCTACCAGAGCTCCTGTTTGAATGATTAGTAATGTACAAAAGCTGTTCTTCAGAAGGCTTTTGTCTTGTATATTGCTGGCATTGTCCCTCAGGGGAGGCTTTTACTTTTATTTAGTTGTATGAAATTATCAGGGCTGCTAGGTTAAAAATTACTAATGCATTTTTTAATTAGTAAAATGTGGATGGGTTTAAGTATTGTGTCTGTGTGGAAAATTGATGGACACTTATATGGGAATGTAAAAACATTACATTCTTGGGTCTTGCTACACAAAATGTAGTCTCAAGACCAGCAGATAAGCTCCACCTAGAAGCTTGTTAAAAATACAACATCCCAAGGGACACACTGTGTTTGGCCTAGTATAGTTTATGCTTCTGTTACATGGGAGGCATGGAATTTCAGGCATTTTCTTTACTTTTTTTTTCTTAACTATTCAGTACTTTGTGCCTTTTAGGCTCCTGGATGTTCTTCAGTCTTTTCAAAGCAGGTAGGACTGTTTTTCAAGATATTTTAAGGAGAAAATAACATTATTTAGGTCATAGAAACCTTTCAAAAATACTTACATTTTTTATGCAAGTGAATATTAATAGGATGCAGTATTCAAATTCTAGTATTAGTTTATAACTTTTGCTGATTTATAATCCAAAAAATGGTATAGGCCACCATCAAGTGGAAAGGAGGTAGCAACTACAACATGAAAAGCTGGCGCCTAATGTTGTTATGTGCTGTAGAGTCGGACCCAACTCATAGTGACCCCTCCTTGGGTTTCTGAGGCAGTATCACTATGGAAGTAGATTGCCCAACCTTCCTTCTGAGGAATGGCTGGTGGGTTTGAACTGCCAGCCTCCTGGTTAGCAGTCAAGTGCCTTAGGCACTACGCTACCAGAGCTCCTGGTGCCTAACATTGGGTACTGTTAATTTAGGCCTTTTGAAGGCCTTAAGCCTTATACAGAAAGTACTTGAACTTTTCAAAGAGCATAGTAGTTTGTTGTCACCTCAGTGGTTCTTAAAGTTTGTTCCTGGGATCATCAGCATCGCTTGGGAACATCCTAAGAAATGCAAGACCCATTGAATCAAACACTAGGATTGGGGCCCAGCAATCTGTGTTGGCAAGCCCTCCAGATGATACTTATTATGCTCATGGAAGTTTGGGGTCCACGCATACAGTGGTTTTGGTATAGTAAGTTTTCCATTAGTGGTTAGAATGTAGTTCCTTCCTGGTCAGATTTGAAAATGTATAAATGTTGGAAATGAAACACTAAAGTAATGAAATGCAGGTCTTGGCCTGAAGCTAAGTGCAGCTCTGACCAAGCCCATGAATTATACAGAAATGATGTAATTTACACCTGATGTTAAAGTAATACTTGGTTGTTTGCTATGTTGTTTGCAGGATTATTTATAAAACTTTGTATATCAAACTTTTTACAAAATAGTACATTTTTTAATGCAAGTATGCAAGCTTACAAGGAGAAAATAAACCAGTTTGCCTGGTAATTGATAAGTGTAGTATTTATACCATCACATGTATACTGGTATTTAATGAGTTTTCATTTTTATTGTAGGCATATAAGCTACCTTGAATAGACTGGCTGTTCTTGTAATTGTGTTAACCATTATTTAGTGCAACTGGCCAAGTACTTAAAATTTAAGTAAAAGTTACATACACCAGTCCTTGAATATAAGATGTTATAGACCACCATCAGTGAACATATTTGAGAGGTTTTCCGTATTAGTTATACAAATAAGGGTGCTTTAGTACTTCTCCCTGTCAATAAAGCAAATATCAAAAGTACTATAGGAGAGCTTATTCCTGCCCTCTGCTTCAGCCTGTATTGCTGTGCAAGTACAATATAGACTAAGTTTCAAGAATTAACGTCCTAGCCAAACTCCAGGAGCTCTGATAGCATAGTGCCTAAGGCACTTGACTGCTAACCAGAAGGCTGGCAGTTCAAACCTACCAGCCACTCCTCGGAAGGAAGATGGGGCAATCTACTTCCCTAGTGATACTGCCTCGGAAACCCAAGGAGGGGTCAGATCCGACACGATGGCACATAACAGCACAACAACAAAGCCAAACTCCAGTGGCACAGTGCCTAAGGCATTTGACTGCTAACCAGAAGGTTGGCAGTTCAAACCCACCAACCATTCCTCGGATTGGGCAATCTACTTCTGTAGTGATACTGCCTTGGAAACCCAAGAAGGGATTGCTACAAGTCGTATCTGACTCAAGGGCACTGAGTTTGGTGCTTGGTTTTTGTTTTTTAAGCCAAACTTTGTGTATCTCTTCCATTATTTTGAAGTAAATTTAAGACATTAATCTCTCCCTTCTACCCCCAAGTTGTGGCGATAACATGAAAGTAGTGAAAACACTTTTCATCGATACTATAAACAGAACTAATTATTTAAAAATCATACAGAAGAAAACAATTATCCTAAGGGAGCTACAGAGAAAGAATGACTTAATTTTACTTTTTAATTAAAGTCTGGCCTTTTAGCAATGACCTAGAAGTTTATAGTATCAAAGGGTGAGTTAATAGCAGTCCAACTGGTCTCCATCCCCTGCTTCCTGCAGCTTATTCATTTTTTATGAAGAAATAATTACCTATGTTTAGATAAGTTAAGGCTGTGCATAAAATACTGGGCTTGATACTTAGTTCTAAGATTTAATTTTTAAAAGCCCTATGAAAAATTGATTTAAAATATGCTACAATGAAACCTGGTTAAAAACACTTTATTGATTACAATATCAATTCACAGCAACGTTATTTCACTGAGCTACTATACAAAGAATGAATCAGTGTGCAAGAAAAGATCCAAGAACATTATTGAGTCCTGGTACAAGTCTGTTGTTTGCCTGGTTTAAAGCTCTGACAGAAGCATTAATCTAGCACACCTACCTTCCCCATAACTAGTAGTACTAGTTTACCTTCCCCATAACTAGTAATACTGACTTTCATAGTCAACTAGCCACGATTACATAGGACCCATTCTAAGGAAAACCATTTCAGAATGCTGTAACAGGAAAACATTGTAATCAGCTTTAAAACTCCATTGAGAGATGGATGCCTTTGGATAAGGATATGCAAATACATGGGTTCAGATGCTTTGAAAAAACAGAATAGAGCACCATTGTGTAAAAGAAAAGCCTTGAAATATCTACCAAGTATAACACTGAAGTTGTATTAAATTTGAAAAATACTACTACTACTGTATGATGTAAGATTTTGTTGGGCACATTTAACATCAGTTGTAACAACAGAACATTTTTACCACAATGCTGCATTATCCTAATCGTATTTTACCAAATAAGCAATTGAAGGAAAAAAAAAAACTTTATGGAAATTTTACCAGCATGCATAAAAATTTGCTAAATACAAGATTTACCATCAATCTGTGATTAATAAGTTACTATTTAAGATATGAAATGGCTACCTTACACATTCTACTACAAATCAACTTAATGAGTACCTGTTATTGTAGCCAATATTATTAAATATAGAACTTTGAGGCAACTTAAAATTAACAGCAGAAAAACTAACAAATCTGATGTTTTCTTTTACTGAATCTAATTTCAAAATACCAATTTTATACATTGTGCTGTAAACTAAACTTCCTTTCTCATAAGAAAGATGGTGTAACCTGTGGATGTTTAAACAGTTTTAGCAGGACTTTAGGAACAGTTTAACATTTGGTTTCCACAGTGGCAAATAGGAAAGGAGAAGCTAAACATAGTAATTTAAAAAAAAACCCAAAAAACCTGATTCCCTCATTTCCTAAAGATTAAAGACATTACACCTTCAGTATTAAAATGACAACAGGAACACTTGGGGGACTGTTTAATCAGTTTCAGTAAGTTTTAAACACATAATGGTTTATAATTTAAAATGTGAGACATTCACTAGTAAGCAAATTATAAATGTCCTTGAATTCACTTTGAAAATGTATTAGATTTTGGCTATCCAAAGTGTTGGGAGTTCAGTTATAGAACTGACAGTAATGTTGACATGTAATTGGCAAATTTCTAGCAAATAAAAAGTTTAATTTTTGTCATTTAG